CGTGGTTTTGTTACTAATGAATTTAAAGAGGGGGTACAATTTTTTGTGAGCTTTGCATTTTCTAGACCCCAAGCAAAATTAGAGATCAAGTGTCCTTGTTCCAAATGTAGATGCAGGAAATGGGGGAACCCTGAGGTTATCTCTATGCATTTGTGTAAGCATGGATTTATGAACAATTATTATACATGGTAAGTTCATGGGGAAACATCCAACAATCCAGCAAGAAACCTTATAGGGGAATTTTCTAATCTGGGGTTTGATAGAAATGAGCTAGATGCAATGTATCATGAAATGTTAGTTGATGCAATCGGTCCACAGGGTGAATATAATGAGGACGCAATGGCTGAAGAGCCAAATCATAAGGCAAGGGAATTTTATGAACTTTTGCATGCTGTAGAAGTTCATATAGGTAGTGGGGAACAGAATGTGACTGTTCTTTCATGGATGGCAGAAATGCTAAATATGAAAACTCATTATAACATGAGTGCTTCTAACTGGGAGATGACATTATCATTGAGTCGAAAGTTGTTAAGTGCAGAAGACCAAGAAAAGGTGCCAAAAGATTTCTACACTGCTAAGAAAATGATAAATGTGCTCGGACTTGGATATAAGAAAATTGATGTTTGCATTAATGATTGTTTCTTGTATTATGATGAGCAAAGCAAGAATTTAAATGCTTGTCCGGTGTGTGGAGAATCTCGATATGAACTGAGGAATATGGCTGCGGTGAGGCAGAAAGCAGTTCCAAGAAAATCTTTGTGGTACTTTCCAATTATCCCAAGACTGCAACGACTATACATGTCTAGGAAAATAGCGGAGCACATGACATGGCATTTGAAATGCAGTGATGATTCAGATGAAGTTATTCATCTTGTAGGTAGTCAAGCATGGAAGCACTTTGATGAAACGTACCCAACATTTGCCGCAGAACCTAGAAATGTTAGACTTGGGTTGTGCACAGATGGTTTCAATCCATTTGGCCCCTCTGCATCAGCTTACTCTTGTTGGCCTGTTTTCCTTACAGTCTATAACCTTCCGCCTGAATTGTGCATGAATTCGGAGCATATATTCCTTTCCATGATAATTGCTGGACCTAAAAGTCCAGGGAAAAATATTGATGTTCTACTTAGGCCATTGATTGATGAACTTAATGAATTATGGACAAATGGGGTTGAAACATATGACAATTTTAGAAAACAAAATTTTATCATGAAAGCTGCACTGTTGTGGACTGTAAGTGATTTCCCAGGGTATGGCATGTTGTTTGGATGGAGTACACATGGGAGGTTGTCATGCCCTTATTGCATGGAGAACACTAAGGCTTTTCAACTTCAATTTGGGAGGAAAATATCATTTTTTGATTGTCATCGTCAATTTCTACCTCTTACACATCCATTTCGTAGAGATAAAAAAAAATTTCTACGTAAACAGAATTGAAACCAGCCCATCCCCCCCACGACTAAATGGTCATTTAATGGAGGAGCGGATTAACGAACTGCCAGACATTATCTTTGGCCAATCACTTCCTAAACAATCAATTCCGGGATTTGGTGTTTTCCATAATTGGGTGAAATGTAGTATATTTTGGGAACTACCATATTGGAAGGATTTATTGATTCGTCATAACCTTGATGTCATGCATTGTGAAATTTTTTTTTTTTTTGATAATATTAAGAATACTGTAATGGATGACAAGAGTTGTATGAAGGATAATACAAATGCTAGAATGGATTTGTAACTGTATTGCAATAAACCTGAATTGGAAGTGATCCCTCAATATGATGAAACAGCTTTAAAACCCAATGCTACATATGTTCTTACTCGAGACCAACGAGCTCATGTTTGTCAGTGGCTGAGGGATTTGAGATTCCCAGATGGGTACGCATCCAACATAGGACGCTATGTCAAAATGCATGATTTTCGATTGTCCGGAATGAAAAGCCATGATTGTCATGTATTCATGTAGCATCTCTTGCCAATTGCTTTTTTTGATCTCCTTATAGATGCAGTTTGGGGTCCTTTAACTGATGTTAGCAACTTCTTTAGAGCTTTATGTGCTCCAATTATTCGAGTTAGTAACATGGAGATGTGGGAGGAAAAAATTGTGGAGACCATTTGCAAGTTAGAGAAAGTATTTCCTCTAGCACCATCTACCATACGAGGCAAAAGTTGGAGGGCCTGTCCAATTTCGTTGGATGTACCATTTTGAGAGGTATAATTCATCTAATTTATTTCAAAGCAATAACATTTTTTAGCATACTCAATAATACTATCTTATTAATTAATTTTATTATTTTTTTAACAAAAAAATGCGCGATCTTAAGAAGAAAGTGTTAAATAAAAATCGTGTTGAAGCGTTGATCTGCGAGGCTTACATTCTTTCAGAAAATTTTTTTTCTGCTCACATTATTTTGGATCTGATGTAGAGACCAGATTGAATCGCC